AACACGAAAACAAAAAACATAAACAAAACTTTCAATTAAGTTAAAAAAAACAAAAAGAAAACACAAACACCAAAAACATAGCGATAAAAAAAAATCAAAAACAAAAATTTACATTAAATTTTTAAAAAAAAAAACAAAAAAAACCAAAAAAAAACGGAAAAAAAATTGTAAAACACAAAAATAAAAAAAATAAACAAAGTTTAAATTAAATAAAAAAAAATTATACGTGGCAGTGGCGCCTAGTCAGGACGCCGCCACCATGGTGGCGGCGTGGCCAGATGCCACCGCCACGGTTGCGGCGTCCTGCCCAGGCGCCACGGTGGCGCCGTCCTGGCCAGACGCCCCACCCACGACGGTGGCTTCCCGGCAGGACACCAGCCGCCAATTCGTGATTTTAGACGGTTCGTACATCGTTTCCCGGCGTCGACGACGTCTCTCCGGTGCACCTAGCCGACGTTGAGGGCTCTTCGGTGTCCCTCGGCGATCCAGTCCTGCTCCACATTTTTGGTGAGTGAAAATTTCGTTTTCGGTAAAAATTAAAACAAGGGCAAGAATGTCAAAATTTATAAAAAATGTGGGCTTTATGTAGAAAAACGCGAGCGATGTTTAACAAGTCCTGATCGGTGTACCCATGTAAGTGTTTGGCAAGCTAAGTGATAATGAGATGTATGTTTTATATTCGTAATCTTGCAAAATATGTTTATTTCTTGTAAGATTCTAGCATTAAATACTAGTCGTGGTCATGTAAAATTTTTTTTGCTTTTTTAATTTTTTTTTTTTTCTCTTGTAACAGTTGTAAGTATCTAATATAATACGAAGTATATAATAGGATAAAAATTTATGTAAGGTAAGAAGTTAAATAGAATGATACAAGTATGAAACTAATGAAAAGGTGGTGATGCACTGATGCTTAACAATAGAAAAGTGAAGGAATAAATAGGTTGATCCAGAAAGCAGATTGAAAGTGAAAAGGTCGAAGCAGCCCATAATATTGGGGGCTTGATTGGCCCATATATAATATAGTATGAGGATGAGTAAAAAAAATAGGGTTAGAAAGAGAATAGAAAAAGGGATGATCAATGAATCATAGGGTTGACAGCAGTAGCCGCCAAGCATATGTAAAACCCTAAAATAAAGATCTATAAGTACCTCATTCTGTCACAGTCATTTCAATTCAATTGAATTCGAGTAAAATCGATCTAAATTCATCTGTCTAGACAGAGAAACCACTGTTGAGTTTTAGAGATATTCTCTCTCATTCTTAATCGTGTTTCTCTGTCTAATCTGATGGACTTTGGATCTAATTCCTCGTATCCTTTCATCTTTTTCTCTATGTTTTTTTTTTGTGCAGAGGAAATTCAACTTTGGTTTTGAATAATTCAGAATATGTCCTGGGAATCTGGGATGGTTGATATGTTAGTTTTTGATCTGATTCGTCCAAACATACTGTAATGGCCCAGTTTAAATTAAAATTTGAAATTAATGTCATCAGTTACATTGTCATTAATTTGTGGGTGGATGCTGTACTTATCTGATTACGGAGTATAATTACTAAGTCGCATGTATCTTTCTCTGAAACCCTTAATTTTTGTTCCAATCCTATTAGATACCTGGGACATATATATCGAACTAATTTACGTTTTTCATCAAATTAATCTTAAAATGGGAGGTATATTTTCATATATTGTTAAAAAAATTTATACGTGCACCAAAGGGTCCAGAGTGTATATAAAAAGTGTTGATGAAATGCCCAAGACAGGGTTTTTCTAAGTTTGTTGGCACAAATAAAGACCATTAAACAACACGCAATCCAACCTTAATTGGGTTTTTAAGTTTGTGAAGTGAACATGCCAAATTCCAGCCATATGATCACTAGCGCGGAGCACCAGTATCAATGATCCAGCATCCTTATCAAAAACGAGGAATTTTATTAACACTTTTTGCTCTTTGATTAAACAAGTTCCTATTTCTGAGATTAATTATATGGAAGATTATACTTACTAATTACTGTTAGCTTAGACCATTCTAATTATGAACGGGAACTTTACTGTTAAATCTGCTTATCACCTTCTTCTTAATCTTCCTGCTAACTACTATTGAATGCCTAATTTCTCTTGGAAATCTCTCAGGTTCCTAATAAATACAAAATAATGTCATTATGGAATGTTGTTCATTGTATTTTTCCTGTTGGAGAAAATTTATCTATGGGCATGACTCTTATTTCAGCAATCTGTACGTGTTAGATGTGGTATCTATTGTGAGTCTCATATTCATTTGTTCCGTGACTGCTCTTTTCTATCTTGTAGAACTGCGTTTTTTCTACTCTCCACATTCCTAGGACTTAAAATTTTCATAGAAGTTGGGATCGATGAATTGATTGGTTATAACCTTCTCCTAGGATTCGCATATTTGGAAATTGAGAAATGATTTTTTTTTAGATGAAAATGTATCATATATTCTGATTCATAATTTAACAGGTTCATTCTGGAGTATCAATATAGTGGACTAACTTCTTTTTTGCAGGGGAAAGGGAAAGAGGTTGCCTCTAATTAGATTAGGAGAATTCGAGTTGGGGCATGAAAAAGAGGTGATGAAGCAGCGGGTGGAGGCGTTTTTAAAAGGCAAATTGGATCATATATGCTATCTGGGACTGTAGTATGCTATAATGCTATCACTCCACGTACAACAGAACTGACTGTAGTATGCTATAAGAGAGGGCCTTCAAATGACCTTTGAATTAAAAGCCATTTAGCTAAACTTGAGGTTGAAGAAACCGACGCCAATTAAGTCTTTCGAATCCATGCTTAATTAATACAATTGAGACTATGTAATCCTCATCACGAGCTATCAGCGGTAATTAATTTAATGATGTTGTTAGTCTGATGCAATAATAGGAATGGATTATTGTGATATATCACAAGGGGCGAAGAAGAACCTGCAATGCTGGCTCATCAGCTTGCAATTAAGCTATCGAATTGGCCATAAGACACATTTTCTAGTGAATTGAGAGCTTTAGATACGAAGGAGTGCTACATCATAAGCTTTCATAACTTTTGTATACGAATAGATCGCATCAATGAATAAAGTGACTACAATGGTCCACTCGAGGATAAACATGTGAATTTGTCAATTTGAGAAATATAGTTAGTATCATTTCTGAGAAAGTTAGTAATGTACAAGGCCAACAAGGGGGTCACTTTCTAATGGTAGTTGATTGTTTTGTACTACATTATCTACATATACATACATAGTTAGCCCACTTGTAGATTGGAGGCCACTTGGTTGATCACTAGTACTTTTATTAATTTGGAGGGTGGATAGTAGGTTCTTCACTTTATCATAAAACTTTTTTTCCCCTTAAATCCTCTATTTAACGGTAATCTATTTTTATAAAGGCATTTACCTTTTTATTTTTATTTTTTATTTTGTATTTTATAGGGGTTGTTTGATTAGACCTTTTTGAATGGATTGGAATAATAAAGTTAAAATCTATTCCATCCATTTTGTTGTTTGGTTAGGTTTTATTTGTATGTATGGAACCTCATACTAAGACAGTTCCAACTCCATTTCATCTCCCTAGAATTCCTTACCCACCTCACCCCCTAAGATTTTACGAACTATTCCATTAATAAAATATAAAAACCATTATTCCACCATTTAAACCAAACAACTTCAAACTAGTATGATATTTAGTATCCATACTTCTCTAGTACCAGCTGAGCTTCCATACAAGAGAGTTCCGACTTTACCCCATCTTCCTACTAGAATTCTGTACCGCAACACGCCAACACCCCATAAGATTCACATTCTATTCCATAAATGAAATTAAATTAAAAAAAATCATTCAAGTATATAAACCAAACGAACAGCTTTAAACTAGAATGAAATTTAAATAAACATCATACTTTTCTAGTATGAGATTCCATATCAATCCATTTCACTGTATCGAAGCAAATGAATCCTAGAAGTAGTACGAAATAGAGAAAGAGAATTTATCATGTATGGCGATTCATTAATTTTAGGCTAAATTAGAAAATAACACCCAAAAAAACCCCCGATTTTGATAATAACACCACCCAAAAAAAAAGTATGGAAACCGAATTCATCATGGATGGAAACCGTTAGTGGGGCCCGCCATGTACACATGTCAGTTGTTTATTGGTTTAAAAAAAAGAAAAATTAGAAAAAAAAAATTACCCCCTAACCCAGCCAGCCACCTCCACCACCGGCGCCGATCCCACCCATACCTAGCCCCTGAAATTGTCGACGAAGCTCCGAAACCGTCGCCGAACCACCGTGACCCCAACCCACACCTTCGGCGAACACCGTTACCTCAATCTAAACCAGCCGAAACCCCAGCCCATACCTTCACCGAACACCGTTACCCCAACCTAAACCAGCCAAAACCCCAGCCCACACCTTCGCCGAACACCACTACCCCAACCTAAACCAGCCGAAACCCCAACCCACACCGTCGCCAAACCACCGTAACCCCAACCTAAGCCATTCGAAACAACAACATCACACCCATCACTTTCGTCGAACTCCTCTCCCCTACTCAAAATCGTCGCCAAACCGCCGAAACCCCAATCCACACCCATACCCAAACCCAAACCCAAACCGGTACCCAGAAACCAAAGTGGCGGCAAATTATGAGGTGGAATTCGTTTTCGCGGCGGTTGATAAGACTAGGATGGTTGTCGCCAGTTTATGAGGGTGGTGGTTGGCCTCATTTCGCTGGTTTTGGTGGGACAAAGGGTGCCGGCGGCTGAGGATTGGCGTCCGGCGGCTAGGATTAGGCTGCCGGTGGAAGGCTAGTGGCTGGGTTAGGGTGTTTTCTTTTTTTTTATTTAATTTTTTTTTAAACCAATACCTAATTGACACGTGTCCATAGGGGTCTTACTGACGGTTTCCATCCAAAAATCCGTTAGTGGGTGGTGAAACCAAAATTTTTGGATTTTTGGTGGTGTTATAAAAAAACTTTTTTTTTTAGTGGTGTTATTATCAAAATCGGGGTTTTTTTTTGGTGTTATTTTCTAATTTAGCCTTAATTTTATTTCAAAATCTGATTTGGCATTAGAGAAAGATGATGCGTATACAAACTTACCATATACTCCCTCTGTCCCTTATATTTTGCCCCATTTGCCATTTACGGAAGTCCCTTATTTTTTGCCCCATTCTATTTTGGGCCATGGTCCCATATTGTAAACAGCTCCAAATCACTCCATTAACCTTGCTTAGCCCACTAAAACCCAAATGCATCAGCCTCTTTTCCTCCCCTGATCTCCTCTTACCCACTCTCTCTCCTCAATTGCTAATGGCTCTCTCTCTTCCATCACCACCTCTCTTCTTCCTCCGTTACAACCGAGGCTGCTTTTTCTCCCTACTTGCCATTTATTTTGTTCTCTGAAAACCCCATCAAAACTGAAATCCCCCTCTTCCATTTCTGTTCTCTCTCTTTCGCTTTGTTTATAAGATTGAAATCCCTCAAAACCTAGATCTACGATGCCGGAACACTGAGATCCGACTGGCTACTTAATCTAGGCTTCGTCTTTGTTTTTCATTGTTAGAAAAGCTTTGATTTTTTTTGTTTTGAATAATTTCTACCCAAACTTCGTATATTCTGTGGTGTTTAATTTCCAGATCTAATTAGATATGAGCTTTAATGGTAAGGGTGGGTTTAATTCGGAGTTAAATGACGAGGATTATGATTTCTTGAAGCATAGTCTTTTTGTAAACCATACCCCTACCTTAAACCACTCCGATGATGACGAAGAGGAGTTTATCCCCAACACCCCTGCAGCAACCGTCACTAGCTCGCCACCTCCAGCCCTAATTCAGGTACCGGAGACACCTTTGTGCATGCAGTCTGCCCAACCACTGAGCTTCACCAAAGGGGGTAGCAACTCAATCCCTTATAGAAGGCTGGGGGTGCTCAGATCTAGGGTTTCAAAAAGGGCTATCGACTTCGGTACTTCTGCTATAGAGTTCGACGCTGATGTAGTTGAGTCCCAAGGGCCGGAGAATAACTTCTCCGGCCAAAAACTAGAAAATGGAGGTGAAATGCTTCCAACTTCTTTGTCCTCTTTATTTCTGTGATCCGAAAAAGTCCAGATAAGCTATTAATTAGCCTAAGATTTTATAAACGGAGTATTTGTGATAGTCTAAATCTGTTAGTATTTGTGAAATAGAATATTTGTGATAGTTAGTCCAAATCTCTTTATTAGCCTAACTTTTTTAAAAAAATTTGGCTATTGACTTAATTATGACGGTGGACTAGTATGTACTCTGATTGTGTAATGCTGTGAACTTGGTATATGTGTTTGCTTGGTACTGTGTGGTTATTGTTGTTCTGTATTGTTGATTAAGTAGATTTATTAATAGACAAAGAGACCTTATGATGAGTATGTGCATGATCTACTATGGGGGGGTGGATTTCAGCTTATGTGATGCCACTCCATCATTTTTTTGATGTTTGACGAGGCACGATTAAGCAGTCACTGAAACACGTAGTTGTTGCCACTCCATCTTGTAGGATGTTTGATGAGGCAATGTGATGCCACTCCATCCTGTAGATGTTTGATGTGGCACATAGTTGCAATGTTGTTTCCAACCCCATGATGATCACAACACTATGACATTTGTGAGTTGTGTATTGTGTGTTCTTCTTCCTGTTTTGTGAACACATACATTACAGTAATAAATAAAGCTGATAAAATTTATAAGTTGGTTCATTTATAATTACAGAATACATTTGCACCTACTCCTTATCAACTATGGCTGATTAATAACTTGCATAATTCCAACCTTTTAAACTCCACAAAAGTACATCCAATCCCTATAGACATTAGACAAAATGGGGCAAAATACTAATGACGAAGTAGTAATGATCATAAGCATTGTACGCTACCTATTTCAACCATCTACCAACATTTGACTACTCTGCCAGGTTACTACAAATTTGTACAACAAAAAATTCTTGATATGTTTTCATAATTTGCATTCTTTCTTATGGAATAACATGCCATTACCTGAGTTGCCTGAGTTGTATCACCTCATGGAAATGCGCATGTCCTGCATCATTCCTTCCAATTCATGAACTTGCATAGACGTGTCCTCCACGATTGAGATATAGCTTTCCCTTGGAATGTGCTCTGTTTCTGCCTCTGCCCTTTCTTCTGTGTCCTGAACAGTGGTTGTCAATCCATGTAATTACATGTGTTGTTGTAGCAAAGATGTCATACTTTCTTTTAGCAACTGAATTGGGACTTCTATGTAAGTCGGCAAATTTTCTGCTCTTTCCATCCTTTCCTTTGCATGATGTGGTTGTATATAATTATTTGAACTATGCACCATCATTATCTCAAGCATGCAATATTGTAGGCTAAGAAACACATGATTTACTTTACGAGGCTCAAAAATTTCATAAGCATACTTGACAGCACTTACTAGCTCGTATACATCTCTAGGGGCTTGTTGGTGTTGAATTGCATTAAAGAACCCTAAGTCGAGAACATTTAAGTCCGGACTGTTTGGGGGTTGTGCTATAAGCTGTATGTTGAAACCATCTGTGTTTGCTGCGTTTTTGAATTCAATGTCATGTAGTTGCAAATGTGGTGTAGCATTATCTTGTTGAACCAAATGGTTCCACATGCATCAATTGGCCATTTTGCCTTAATCGAAGGAAGCAATTGCTCAATAAATAACTTCCTTATCACTGATTGTGTAATATTCTTGATTGGTTTTGTCTCCAAAGTGCCAGCCACTCTATGTATGCTAGATCGCTTTGCTGGAATAACTTCTGTCAGTGGGAAACATCCTAACTTCCCATCAAACAGACATTCACCATCTGGTCCATGAACTGCTCTGGACAATGCAACCTCAAACATGACTTTGGTATCGTACCTTTTGGACTTACAATTCCGGTAAGGATGCACTTCATTTGCTGCCAAATAAAATGTTTGCGAGTTTTTTGTCATAAAAAACCATTGCTCATCAATGTGTACCACGTTATACATATCTCCAAATCAAGGGATGGTATTAATTGTGCTTGGGATTACTTGTTGCATGCACCATCGTAGCCTTTGTATCTTATTCACAGATGTGAGTGTTGGTTTGATTGCTTTACTATGCCTCAAGATCTTGCCTTTTTTTACAAACCTCCCAATTGTTGACTTATTTATTTTCATTATTGAAGCTACTGACCTAATGTTCCCCCTGTTTTTCAAAGGGACTTCCATCAATTGTTCAACATTCAGTTGAATTGGTTTTCTGCCAGCCTTTCCTTTTTTATTCTTGCTGATTTGGATGCTTTGTTTCAAACGCACACTAAGCTTCACCTGCTTCCATATCCTTTGCAAAATCCACCTACTAACACCATGAATGTGGGAAAGTTTAGTAATTGTCCCCGGAAGTAGCTTGAGGTTTGTTGCTGCATGTAGGAGGCTCTCTATGCACATCTTCCTTTCGACATCTTTCATGTCCCTCCTGCGTTCATGTTGTTCAGTTGGTGCCTAAGTTGTTGCCTGGGTTGTTGCCTGAGTTGCTGCCTGAGTTGCTGCCTGAGTTGCTGCCTGAGTTGTTGTCGGAGTTGTTGCCAGAGTTGTTTCCTCGGTTGATGCCGGAGTTGTTTCCTGAGATGATGTCTGAGTTGTTTCTAGAGATGATGCCTGAGATGATGCCTGAGTTGTTTCCTGAATGTAGTCGTCACTGAGTTGTTGCCAATGAAGCTAAGAAAATCACTTGTTTCCATTTCGAAATTTGGCATCAGTAAAAAGAGTCCCTTAATTACTCGATGATGATAAAACTGAGAGTAATTCCCCCCTCCGTACCCCTCCCCTATTTAATTTTCTGAGTTTTTTTATAATTACAGAATTACTGCACTCTGTTTTTTTGGTGTTCTCAGGTGGTGGAAAATAAAAGGAGGAAGAGAAACAACTGTGCCACTGCTCTTTATACTGCCCTGCTTTTGGTTTAGGAGGGAAAAATTTCCCTCCAAAATTTTGGAAATTTTGGATAAATTTCCTGTAAAATATCTACTCTTGTTTTTCTCTGTAAATTTTGGAGTATGATGTAAATTTGTACAGTGAACAAAATTGAGTGGGAGCCAACTTTTACTCTTTATTAAAAAGCCCACTTGTACTTTATCTCTCTACATTTTGTTAATTAATTCCAACCCAAATGGCTTAGGGACCACATCACATTCCACTCTCTATGCATTTCTTAATAAAGCACAAATATGGGATGGGGCAAAATATTGGGGACAGAGGGAGTAGGTCTTTCGATCTTACAATATAATGTTGAAAAAAATACCCATTGTACATTTGCATTATATTACGATTAGATATTATCTTATTCCTGCTTTCATATTTATAAATTTGGTGGAATAATTAATTTGTGCAAAAATTTGCTTATTTCAGAAAAATAATTAAAATTGTATATTTGAAAAGTAAAAACATCAAAGATCTGACCAAATGAATTAAACATAGCCTTAAGCTCTTTTCTTTATTTTATCGAGCTCTATCCTTACTAACAAATACTCCGTATTAGATAAGATTGTGTAATAAACTAACAATGAGGATAGTCAATCTCATCAAATATCTTTAACATCTACTTATTAGTAAACAAAAAATGTAAAATTAAATACATGGTACATACAATCAAAATATAATTATATATGTTGGGAATATTCAAACAACCCACCAATACTCTAATCCCCCGTTGTTGGTGAGTGGTGATATAGGTGTAATATATAAAAATTCCTGCACGTAAACTAAGCAATTAAAAAAAGATAAAGCTACGAGTATGATAGAAAACAACAATATAAAGAAAACAAAATAATGGAGTAGTTAACATTTTTGACAAAGAAAGGAGAACCAACTTTACATCGTTCAAATAATATTAATGAAACAAGTGGCCTCGAAGAAGAAACAAGTAGCCTTACTAATCGATATTCTACTGTACTTGATTTACATCGCAAAACTATCATTCAACTACTCTCTAAAACTCATTAAAAAATAAACCACAACTTAATTGATTGATTAACTATAATTAATTATAAATGCAAATATTATCTAGTCGTTTTACAAATAAAGGGATGAGATAATAATTGAGCAGCGGACCACCGTTTAGTGGCTTCTTTTTGAAGGCAACAACTAACAAAGCTCCTAAACTCCTCCGACCCACGACCCTCCGGCAAGCTCGGCGGGTCTCCGAAACAAATCGCACACATCAAAGTAGCCCAATCGGGTCTTTCACCGGGTAACAAAAACGGAAAATAACCCAAATACAATTCCATTAAAGTTAGCCCCAAACTCCAAATATCACCCGCATATCCATTATAATTCCCGCCGTAGGTATCGGGATCAAACCTCTCGGGACTCATATAAGCACACGTGCCGACGTATGAGTTACATGGATCCAGCGTCCTACCCATGATCCTCCCCACACCGAAGTCAGATATCTTGACTTCCCAATTGGAATTCACTAGAAGATTCGAGGGTTTAATATCTCTGTGAACTATCTTATGTGAGTGAAGGTATTTTAACCCGTTCAAGATTTGTGTTGCCACGTTGGCTAGCAATGGTTCAGAAAAAGTGCCTTGGTTTTTAAGAGTATGATCAAGTGTACCGCCATCCATGTATTCCATTAGTATTGCCAAATCACCATCTAATTTCTCGAAAACTCGATGACATCGGACGATGTAAGGTGAGTCCGATGAGATCATACGCCGGAGGATTTCTTTCTCGCGGCTGAGCTGGCGGAGGTGAGTAGGGTTTGGATCAGAGGAGACTAGTTTTAGAGCATAAACGGTGCCGTTTTGCTTGTGGGCTACTTTGTAGACAGTTCCGCCGTTTCCACTGCCAAGAACGGATAGTTTGGTGAAATCAGAAAGAGAGGATGAAACGGAAGAGGTTGTTGCGGTGGTTGTAACGGTGGTTGTAACGATGGTTGTTGCGGTGGTGGTGGCGGAGGAGTGAGTAGGTGGAGGTAGTGGTAATGGAAAAGATGGGCGGCGTTGGGAGTTTTCAGGGAGAGGGAGGCGGAGGTTGAGTTGTCTACGCTCTCTTACTAATGCCATTTTTTTTTTTTTTTGAGAAAGGAGAGGAAGTGTTGATGAAAAATAAAAGAGGAGTTATATATAGTAAATAAAAATAATATAATTTGCGATAATTTAATCAAAGCATGTGCATTTAATTTAATATATATTGGATTTAAAGGAGAAGTAGGAAGGAAATAGAGTTTGGATTTGATAGGGATTTTGGATGGATATGATCAATCATGTACAGATATAACTATAATGTTGGTAGCACCTAGGCTAGCTATAAGTTTGAGTACAAATTAAACTACTATAGTGACAACTATGCTAAATATATAATGGTATGTGTTTTATTAATTAATCAACCGAATACGAGATATTTAATTAGGAGTTGTGTTGGGTAACAAGACTTACTCCTAATTAATTAATAAAACATAAGATGATAGGGTAATATTTAACACATAACCACTTAAACACATCATAATTTAAAGGGATTTATTTACTAGATAGTATATACTTGTATACTATTAATTACTTGGGTTGTTAACACACAATTATATAATGGGCAAATATGTATAATTGTAATAACAGACCATAATCAGAAAGACTGACATTAATAGAGTATCAAATAATCAAGCTTATTTTATTTGGCCTTTAGATCTTACCGATTTTGGCTTCCCTGACCAAGTTAACAACTCTCTACAATCTAAATATACGATCTACAAGATCCATATGTTGATTTGAACCTCTTTGTTAATGATAACAAAACTTCTTATCAAACTTCCAACGTTAGTCTCAATTCCATCTTCAAGGGTGAGTCCTTCTTTTGTACGTTCTTCTGGATAATTGCATTCCCTCTGTTGGATGATAGCAGAATTAGTCGCTTTGGCCGCTACCTTTTTTTGAATTGGACTAAAACCTGGTGGGACGTCAAGTTCATCATTCTTTTCTAGCCTATCTTCTTCTGTAGTTGATATCTTTGTGATACCTTCATTATTTATCTTACTCCACCAGTCAAAGTAACTGGGTGTAACACCTGCCTTATTGAAGAGCCTTGGCGGCATGTATAAAGTACAATTCATCAATTTCATAAATGAGATAAATTAATAAAATCAATACTCCTCCCACTTTAGCAATATATATTAAGTTTTGTTCACAAACAAGAATTATCTTGTTTGAATTTCATATTAGTGAAGCCACACTCACACACATACATTACTTCTTCTATTATTTCAATTAAATAATTATTGTCCAACTTATTACAAAATTTCCATTAATTAATATTATTAACAATCGTATTTTTTAAAAGTACTCCGTATTTTTTTGTACGCAAAATACTATATTAAGCAATCATGTATAGACTATATATAGTCTTTACTTGGATAGATAAATTATAAAATTTCGTAAAATAATAATAATAACTCAGGTCGTAATTAACTTTATTACTATAAATACTAAGTGCTATGTGAAAATTGGTAGAGCCAAAGAATAACTCAACCATTCCAAAGGGGATTTAAACAAAGAATTATGTTGTTTTCTTACGTATGAGGTGTTACATTAATGTGACTTTTTGTGATGGTCGGAGAAACAAGTTTTTCTAAGATCTAACTTTAAGAACATTATATTAAGAAAATCTGAACATAAGTCAAATAATTCAAGTGTGACAATACACCGTATTTTCTTTAATTAGCATTCAAACTAGTGCATATTCTTATACGTATATATGAATACATTTAAAGTCAAGTAATTATAAGATTTATTTTATTTTATTTATTTATTTATTTATTTTATCATTGACCTAAAATAATGAATAATTAGCCAAAATAAGGTGACTTAATATTGAAGAGGGTGACATTTTTGCACTAGCAATGACAAAAAATAACCAGGCTGGTTTCGAAAAGTATTAGTTTTTGTAGACGTTTTAATCGGGTTGGTTAAAATGGGCCCCTTTTGGTTGGGCAAGTAGTGATGAGCAGAGTAAGTGGAGCAAAAGCGATCGATAAAAATGAGATAAATACTACTTTTCCCCGTTTTTTATTAAATGTATAATTTTTGAAATTGCGGACTCTTTTTTAGTGTAGAGAGAGTTAGATATAAAAAAATAAAAAGGGCTATAAAAAAAATACATAAAAATTTATTGACTAAAAAAGGAAATGATGCATCTAAATTGAAACTTTGGATTGCTATATATAAAAAGTGATACATCTACTAAAAAACGGAAAGAAACAAAGGTGATGACTTTGGATCTTCGAAACATCATCATATAAATAAAAAGATCCATTATATTATAATTGTAATAATTAAGATAATTATCTTGTTGGTTTTGGTAGGATGATGCTTTTTTAACTTTATTTGGGCACGTAAGCAAATTTGGAACATCATCATATACATCTATCCAAACAATGCGCGCAAGAAGATGATTGGAAGGGAGTGAGTCACTATTTCAGCATTTATGTATGTTTGAATGTTTGATGTTACTTCTTCGAAACATCTATCCCATTTTTAGTTTTGAAGAAAAGTCTGCTTACTACTCCGTCCACTTGTTTCCATGCACTCCTGTCGTTTTAACTGTGCCAATCATCGTTTTATAATCACACACATATAAGGGACTTTTCTCCGAATTGAGCGAAATTGGCAAAATATTTACCAATTTAGACGCGTGGCAAAACTATTTACCAAACTAAGCTTTCAGGGTAAAACGCTGTCTCAGACAGCGTTTTATCCCTGGATTTTTTATAAAAAAAAATTTCATTGGTAAAGCTGTCCCAGACAGCGTTTTACCTTTTGTATTTTTTTTTAAAAGTTCTTAGTTTCTGATATTTAAAAGAAATAAATTAAAAAAAAAAAGTAGCGCATAAAACGTTGTCTGAGACAGCGTTTTATGCGAATTGATGTTTTTAAATAAAACGCTGTCTGGGACAGCGTTTCTTGCGTGGTATATGAGTTCTTCGTGTTTCAGTTCAGAATACTCCCTCAAACACACCCACCCACGCACTCAACCACCGCCACCACCCACGCTGCTGCTGCCCCTCTTTCTCTCACACTCACTCACTCAATTTCGTAGTAAACCCTAAATTCAATTTAGTGTAATTGCTCTAAATTGTGGTTAATTCATGTAAATTGTATGAAATTGTTGCTAATTATTAATGAAAATGTGGTACATTGTTGATAATTATTGATGGTGATGTGGTACATTGTTGATGAAATTGGTGAAGTTGTTGATGGTAATGTGATACTTATATGTGAAATTGTTGAAATTGTTAACAGTAATATGTGAAATATAATTGTTGATTAGTATAGATTATTGGTGAGAAGAGTCTTATTTCATTATTGATAATTTATCTATCAATTCATATTAGTGTAATGTTTACAATTTTAGTTTGTTAGTAATCGTTTTGCATTTCAACTAAACTAAGAGTTTATAAATGGAGTTAGTGCTTAGTTTGTGGGCAACCTGTTTTACCTCGCTCTAGATTTCAACAATCCTGAAATGTGTTTTGGTTACGTAGAATATGGCTGCACAAAATGTTGTTTTGTTATGCCGGTGGGGAGGTGAAATTCTGTTTGATGGACCCCGTGTCGAGTATAGTGGGGGAAATATGGAACCACTAACACTTGAACCGAATATGACTATCAATGATTTGATGAACGAGGTTCATAGTAGTATTGGTTCAGACCCGAGGAATGTTGAAGTAAACATTAAAATGAGGTTTGAGACCGGCAATGGGGTTCAAGTGTTACCGGTTTCTACGAATAAGCATGTGAAAGCTCTAAGGAGTGTTGTTGCAATGAAGGGTGTTCCCACTGAGATATATGTAGAAATGGTGCCTATATGTACCCAACAAAGTACTCGTCCAGAACAACAATCTACATATACTTCTGGTTACAACACATAGCCCTTCCAAGTGCCCTCACACGACATTCCATCAACTGAATTTGGGATGGGAACTTTCAGTCGAATGCTGCACGACGATCAATTTCACATGGAAATATTATTTATGGTAATAATGAGTTAAAGGTTCTACATAAGTATTAGAGTAAAGTATGTATTTTTGGGTGATATGAATTTTGATATTAGCATAAATTTATGATCGTGGAAAGTATTCATATTGCAAGAATGCGTATAATGATGATTATTTAAAGCAAAATTGTTGATGATTGAATCTTTGAAGGAACTTAATACAAAAGTTAGAGGATTTTGAGTCAATTGAAGTGTAAGGAAGTATAAGAATAATATTGAGATAGAGGAATTTGTTTAAATTGAAGTTATTTTGAAGAAATAATACCTTGTGAAGGGATTTATTAAAGTTAGTTAAGGAAATGATTGTTTGGATGATTACTTAAAGAATTTTACTCTAAGGGATTGACGATAAAATTGGTATAGAGAAGTTATTAATGATAGAAGAATCAATTGAGTTATTTAATGAATTGCCTTAGAGATAAGTTATGGATTATTACAACCAGATTGAGGAATTTGAAGTTATGAGAAAAGATTATCGAGTTTTTTAGACGAAGTATTATGTTATTTGAAGTAACCAAGAGGTAATGATTACGTTTTAAGGCTGTATTACTAAGACTCATTAAATTGTTGGGAAAATTGTAAATACTTTTGGAAGATACCCTGAGACAAGTTACTAATCTTTGAGCGATAAGAAGGTCAAGGTGTGATATGTTCTTTTTATGCTTGTACTTATGTCAATCTTAGCTATGAAGTTGAATATGTGATTATTGTAATTATAGAGTTTCTTTATGAAAAAGTAAGACTTTTAAAAAGTATTTTACAAGTATGCAAAATGATTTTTCAAATATATTTTGAAAATAAAGTTTTGTATTCCTTGTTTTTAAATAATGGTTTAGATTGGAAACTTTCATAAATCTTTTAATATATTTGATTAAATATTTCAGTTCATACCTTATAGTCTTTCCACGATTTCTCCTAATGAAAATATTTTAAATTTTACGAACGACTCATAAAAATATTTGACGAGTTTTCTAACTACTTTTGTAAACAAATCAAAACCTAAGTTCTTTTGGATGTTTGAAACTTGCTCATTTTCCTTACTTTGATTGACGATCGCCGATAAAGTGTTAATATCGTTGATTTAATGAGTTAATGTGTTGGTCGAGTTACGGGGACGTAACCCCTTTTTAAGGGGGGTAGAGTGCGATAGAGTTTCGCGCGCGTTTAATTTCAACCCTCTAGGGTAGCAGTAGGGCGTGTCTAGCTAGAATGTGCATGAAATTAACAAACTAAAATTTATTTTCAAAGAAGAAAATTTTAATTTTTCCCCTCATTATTCTGCCTAGTTTCGGGACGAAACTTCTTTTAAGGGGGGTAGACTGTAATACCCCGTATTTTTAAAAGGTATTTTAGTCTCGTATTTTGACGTGTTTTTCTAAATTAATTATTTTCTAAAGAGTATTTTAATTTTGGAGCCAAAATGATATTTAAATTTTGGCGCCTAAATCATTATTTTACAAAACTAATTAAATTGGATAGTCCAATAAATGAAACTATTTTATACTTATGTTATAAATAGTATTTTTGATTTCTCAAAATTTAAATAGCTAAACCGAAATTATATTAATTCGGTAGATTAATTAAAATGTATTTTCGGTTTTCATAGAATAAAAATCTAAATTGTTTTAATATTTTTCTAAATTAATTATTTTCATGAAATATATTAATTTTCGGATTTTATACAATAAAAATCTGATTTAATTAATTATTATATGTCAATATTTTCGGCCACTCATGAATTTTCTAAATGGTTTTAATTTAATTTATTAAAAATAAAAATCCTTTAAAATTCCTTATTTCTATTCTTAAATCTAAAATCTCTTGATCTTATTCTATACTTGCACTCCAAGCTCAAAACCTACTAAATAATATTTCATGACCAAATAAAATCTAATATCCTTCCATACATTTAAAACCCTAATTTCTATTCTTTAAAATTTCCATAAATTATACAACCCTAAATTTCTATAAACTCATCACCTAAACATCTATAAATACCCCCTCATAACTCTCATATTCTTCACGCCAAAAACTCAATTCCCTTCTTTTACTCTTCTTTTCCCTCAAACTTTTCCTATTTTTCTTTTCCTCTTTTCTAAAAGAAAATCTGCCCGTATATCTTTGGAGCCAATTTTCGGGAACTTCTAGTCATTTTTTGGATTTTTCTATTTCACAGAAAATTATTCCTCTCAAAAAATCCTTGAGGTTAGGTTCAAGAATCACCCAATTCGGAGTTATATCAAAGGATTTATGACCTCTGCAAGTTCTGCCTATTCTTTCCAACGCAAATTCAATTTCCTTTAATCCTATTCCTTTATTTTCTTCATGGTGTATTCGTGATTGAACTTTGAAAGTGCGAAGTGTTGATTGATATTCGGAATTAAGGTACGTTATGTGGTTTGATACCTTCGAAAGTTGATTATGAAACTATATTTTATGATCGTATGAAATTATAATTTATTCCGTATGAAATTTTATTTGTGAAACCATAATTCATGTTCCGTATAAAACTATGATTTATTATGAGACTATAAATTATTATGTTCCGTATCAAATAATATTTTATTACATTCCGTATTAAATCATGTTTTTATGTTTCGTATGAATTTATGATATTATGTTCCGTATTAAATTATGAAATCATGACGGATTGAATTAAATGATTTGGATTTGAATCAAAAGGACCTTAAATTGTGATTGGAAAATTATTGAAAATGATTTGCAAGTTTGTTGTTATGTAAGTGTGATGGATTTTTTTTAAGACGAATTTTTAAATAAATCAATCGATATGTTAAATCCCACTTAGGGAATGGTTTAGAGAAGACTATGGACTTTGCATGACCTAGTCTTTCCTCAAGTTGGCCTTTGATTATAAAGTAAACCACTTGGGGGGTGTGCACACTTAGTGAGGAATTGGTTTTGGAACGTAATCGATTGAGTTTTTAAATTTTGTCTTGAAAGAATTGAATTGGAAAAACTCTTACTTGAGTACGGCATTGGAATTCTTATGAATTAAATCTAAATGATTTAAATTATGTTTTACTTATCTTACACACAATCTACTTAGCATAATTTGCTAATACGTGCTTTTGTTTTGGCTTTGCCCTGTTTACTATTTATGGTAAGCAGGTGAATGTTTCAGGTGGAAGTTGATTGATGCATACGGGAGTCCATGGGAATTTCACCTAGCTTAGGAAAAGTTGGAGTCGTTTTTGTGTCACAAATTATGAACAAGTTTTATTTAAAGTTTTATTAATAAGAATAAAGATTTTCCGCTGCAGAAGTATTTTAAAGTATAAGCCTTGCGTTATCACGCGGCGGTAATACGCCCCAGTCTATCTCTACGGTATTTATACGTATTTTCTACATATTCCGTAGAGGGAGATTTGGGGGTGTTACACATTGGCGTTACGTTGAGCTGTGGACGCAACGTCTGGAGTTTGTCGTTGGAGGTGATCCGATGCAGGGCGTTATGGATCCCACCGATTCGTACATGGTGTGGTACAGACGTATTACACGGCGTTTCATCAACCCCAGTTACACACCACAATCCACACATTACCATCCAGCATATGACGTCATTAACGGATATGTGAGTTTCTTTTATTCTACATATTTTCATCAATTTTTAATTTCTATATCATACAACTGACTGATCGATGATTACTGTAGGCTGCGGATATGGTGGCGATGGTTGATGCACTGTCAATCGCCCTCGTTGACGGACCCACCAGACCCCAGGTCGAGCGGGTACGCGATATGGGCGTGGCTACCTTACAAAGATATGGTCACAGCTATCTCGTCACCCAGCGGGACGACCATGATGGGCACTCAGTCCATTCACAGTTCGAGCTCGGCCAGAGTAGCTGTGGAGGTGATCCTATGTCACCCAGAGACGCAGAGGATTACATCATCCACAGTTCTGCGCCCACCCCTACCCAGGAGGGTCCATCGTCCAGCCAGCAGACTCCCCACCGCCCCGAGACCCATTCACCACCATTACACATTACAGGCGGCGTCGTGTCAGACGGAGGGCCGACACACAAGAGACAGAACCTTTACCCTGAATAAATGAGTCGGGATAGTATTAGGTGATTTATTTCCTGTAGCCCGATTTTGTAGAATGATGTACATAACACTTATATTATTAATATAATGAATGTTTTTTGAATGAATCTGTGTATGATTTGAAGTTTAATTTCCTTATTTGTCCAAATCGGACTTATGTCAGTCAAAATAGATCCTTCTAGGCTGATATATATCAAACACAAGACATTTGAGCTTCATAATGAGAAACGGGGTAGAAGCGATGGCCCGTGGTGGTTACTTTGGTGGTTCACGGTGGTTGTAGTGCTGTTGGGGGTGTCAACAGTGGCGGGAGGTGGTGGTTGGTTGTGGTCGACGGTGGTGGGACGGTAGGGGGTTGGTGGTGGTGGTGGTTGTAGTGTTGCGGGGGGTTGTTGGAGTGTTTTCAAGTGCATAAGGGTGGTCGAAAGTGGCGGGAAGTGGTGGTTGGTGGTGGTCGACGGTAGGGGTTGGTGACGGTGGTGGTGGTTGAGGGTGCTGGCTGTTTGAAGGCTGGGGGTGCTGTCTGCAGGGCAGATATGGAGCCTACAGCATGCAGGTTGCTGTTTTTCTATCTCCAGCAGAAAAACGCTGTCTGGGACCGTGCTTTATGTTTGTACATAAAGCACTGTCTTTTATGTTCAACAAAGACAGCGTTTTACCCTGAAAGCTTAGTTTGGTAAATAGTTTTGCCACGCGTTCAAATTGAAATTTGGAGAAAAGTCCTGTAACAATTATAACATAATAACATATTATTATATCTACCATCTTTTATTTGGGAAGAAAAATATCTACCAAGTGTATATAAAACTATGCACGAGAAACACTCTGGAGCTGCGGGGAATCGAACCCCGTGCCTCTCGCATGCAAAGCGAGCGCTCTACCATATGAGCTACAGCCCCATAATTGTTAATTACTTAATATTTCTACTATATGAGCTACAGCCCCATAATTGTTAATTACTTAATATTTCTATTGTTCATTAGACCCGTATATTCTGTGGGATACAGACTTCCCATCAACAGTACCTAGAGTTGTTGTTCCACTAGAAATCTCTCTCTACAATCCTTGATCCTTTCCTAAAATTCCTCAGATTACAGAAAAAAGAAGGAACCCAATAGAAACTTTATATTTGATTAAGGACACATGCGTTTGATTATGATTTTGGGCTGGTAAGTTGGACAGCTGCTATAATAAAGTTCCAACTTCACAGAAGATATAAGTCCATTGGTTACAGTACAATATGATATGATTATTGGAATTGGTACTTCAACAATGAAGCTCCTGCCTCTTGTCCCAAAAGCGGGATGATGCAATCTTCAATGTTAAAGATCAAAGTCGACCGCTAATGAAATCTATCAAATGACTTCTCAATCCAGAAGTAAATGAAAGGCATTCCATGACATGAAACCTTAGTCTGTCACAAACATTACAGACGTTTGTTCACTGTTCCAACAATCTCTAATTCTCTAAAACACGTACTGCCTTCTATATTTTACTCTTTTCTAAGGAATTCTGATGTTATTTATGGGATTGGTGGGAGTAACTTATATTAGTGGGCTTGGCAAACGATCAATCTACTGTAACATAACAATATTATTATGATGTAAATGTACAGAAATTAAAAGCATGAACTCCATCAAATCCGAAATCATCTACATATAGGAAAGAAAGCATAAAGCTGTGAAATCATTACATAAGTGGTAACAACTCCTATCATGTGTATATATAGGAAAGAAAGCATAAAGCTCAACCTATTTATTCCAAAAATTGATAATATTTACATTACATAAATGTGTCTTCTATAATATAAATGAGTCGAAGACTCTTTCATACAGACCAAGATTGTAAGTGTTAAAACACAATCATGTTATACATCTTATTATTTGAGTCAGGTGACAAAGAAACTGCAATTATGCATGCATGAGGAATCTAGTCTATAAGTCTATTGTCCTAAAATCATTTCTGCTTTTCTAAATTCTTAAACTGAAGTGGAAATTGTTCAATATTATGACCCAAATAGCAGTTCCTTCAAAGACCTCAAGGGAGATGAATGTCCGTATGCCTGACTGTCCTTCCAAAATGTAATTCCTGTGAGCCATATAAGGTGAAAGGATTGTTCAAACACGAGTGTACAACAAGTAGAGAAAATCACATAAAAAGGTAGCAAGCTCTATATACTATTTTATCCAGTATACTAGAAAATTCAACAAATACAAGTACGACAGGATTATGGATCGAATAATAACCTATCCACATAAGAAAGCCTGCTGTGGTTGCAAAGAAAAACTCCCGACTGATGCTGTTAAACCTGCATTGACAGCAAAAAATATCATTAGCAGTTAAGAACCTGTTACTCCTGCATTGAGTATAATTTTTCAAGCAAATGACTATGACTAGCAACTCACAAGTACATGCAGACGAGATTCCCCCAGCCATACAGAAAAGATGCCCAAGACGAACCAAGAAACCTGAATCATATTAAAACAGTTAACATAACAAAACAGTTGATCCCTGTTCATTTGATTCCCATGGGAAGCTGGATGTACATTAATATATGCAATCATAGAGAGAGAGAGAGATTATGAGTGACATGATAATTAAGAAACAAATTTTAAAATTTTTATCTAGAGGTAATATCTGCCCACATTCTCTAACTGTCTATGAGGTATATGAAACACCAAATGCTGAGATGGGTAATTACCACATAAAATCACGGGTGAAAAGCGCACGTGGAATCATCAATCCATTTCCAGCCATTGCCAGCAACATTGTTAAAGCCGACAAGCCTTTTATGTTATCAGGATTTAGGAAATTTGTCCACTGAAAGAATTGAAACCAAGTCATAAAGAAGGCTCACTCAGACAGAAATCTGTTAGTGCTAAATATCTAACATAACCAGATTAAACAAATACCAATTGTGGAATTGGCATCCACATGAAGAGAAGGGTAGCAGTCCACCCTGATATAGCTCCATAAAATTTGACACCTTTCTCAGAGAGTTTACCCGCTCTAACCTGTGAAAGGTTAGCACCCATTTAAATGACGCAAGATACCAATGCATTTACAAAATCAAAAGGTTAATCATCCAATAGAGGAAAGACAAGCATACTGAACATAGAGATTAGCTCATTGCCATCCACAATAACAAATTTTATAAGGTTACCTATCCAATAATCGAGAAGACTAGCATAAGTGCGTAACAAAGATCACCACCAGGTTCATTCACAGTAAAAATCTGAAGGCTACTTGTTCAATGGCTAAGAGTCTAGCACAGCCATAAATGCAGAGATAATTAACTAGCTAGTTTGAGTAAGAAAAGTATAAATTACACATGCTTTAAGGCACTACCACTTACATAGTTACAAAGAATGTCAATTTGAATCAGTCATAACCTAAAGAACTTAATTTCCATATCTGCCTTGCTTCCTTTTCCACTTATAAAAAATAGGCGAAATAAATCTATATGTAGCAAACAGGCTAATGTAAATATGTAATACAAGCAGTTTTTGTTTATTACAATTAATCTACTCCATTGGCAGCTTTCTTAAGGACAAATCAGGCTTGGACAACACAGAATGAAGAAAATAGTGATCACGCCCAATTCAAATGGACCTCAAATAATAAGCAAGCACAGTAGTGGTCCATAATCCTTAACACTTTGCTCCTTCAAAAGCTAGAGAGCAAAAAGGTCCTAAAGAGCTCCTAAACTTTTATTTGTACCTATGCCTCCTCATATGTTTGTTCCGCATAAATTCTAAGGTAGGAGCTTCAACTTACCATAACAGCTGCTACCATGGCTATGACGAAAGATATAGCCCCAGGAAGAATGCTGTTTGGAATATATGGAACAAATGTAGACCACATAACCTGATTTCGGCATGCGACACACAAGTTAGTATTTGGCAGAAAGGATAAAATATCAAGGATTGGGATGCTGAGTTTCACAGAGGACAAGAAAGAAATCAGAAGCAGTACCTGGGGAAGGACAGAAAGCCCTCCGACAGTGAGAAAATCTTCCCACAAACCCCAGATAACAGACGGAAGAATGCCAAAGTAATTGAGAAAATTGGAGACAACACCAGTGCCAACCACTACAGAGGTTAGAATGAAATAAAGAGAAGGCATTGCTTCAGCCATTGCTAGCTGTGAAATCATTACATAAGTGGTAACAACTCCCAGGCATTGCACTATCATTGCTTCGGTCTCCTTTTTCTTGGCAAAGTATGAAAGCAGCGAAAGATTCGCAAGCAAACCAGTTAGGGAGCCCTGCAAAACTCTTCACTGATGATTTGGACTCAGATGTTCTGAAGCTAAAGAAAAACATATAATAACTAAAAACTGTGAGGAAGGAGAGTTACTCAGGCTTACCAGCCAATTAACAGCCAAAAGAGCAGAATTGTTGCCTGCCATAAGATTACGAGCATTAAGCAAAATCTGAGGCAGCTGAAGAATGAGAAACGGAATATTGGCAGCAGCAGCAAACTTTGCCGTCAACCCATCCCATTGCTTAATTGTCTCATCATTTATACCAAATTTAGCTCCTTCCTCTCCCTTTGATTTCAATATAGAGTAGCAAAAACGAGAAACAAAAATATAAGTACATGAATTGTTATATAAATTATTTGAAAAAGAAGATAAAGTGAAGGAATAACATATTAGCAAAGTACCGGTTGAATAGGATGAGGAAGATCAGAGCCAAGGGCTGCAACTGGCTTGAACAGCGGACGAGGATGAAGTTTAAATGGGTTGCTACTACTACAGCTACGGTTTTTGCTGATCAAAAACAGTGAAGAACTGCAGTCATGATTGTTGAAGTGAAGGGTGGAGGAGATAGATGAAAAATGTGGTGATCTAGATGATGTATAATGAGAAACAGATGAAGGCGATGACCGGAAAAGCCTCGGTGAAGACTGCATTACTGCCGAGGCTGCCACTGCAGCTACCATTTTATCGACGAGACTGTTGTCAAAATGCAACATTAGCTTTACAGCAGTCAGTCATACACAATATCTATGATGAGATTTCTTTGCAAAAAATTACGGTTGTTTCAATGATATGTAACAATATCACTCTAATATTCAGACAAATACAATGCGATAATCCTTGCATATAACAGAGATTAACCCCTTAATTAATATAGTGGTCTGCATCAATATTACTTATCTAGAACAACAAGGAATTCTCAATTTAACCCAAACTTAAGCCAGATTTCTTGGTTCCCAAAAAGAAATGATGAAAGATCCCAGAACCCAAATCAAGACATGACCAAAAATGAAGGTTGGAATTAAGAAATTATGCATAAACCAAACAGTAAACAACAATAAAGATAAAAACTTGCTAAATTAAACTTGTAATTAGGAAGAAGAAGAGGAGTCACGCTTACATAGAATGTGGAATGAATGATTGATTCAGCAGGCCCCTGAATTAAAAGAGAAGAAACGATAAATTGAGAAAATTGATAGTAACCAGAAAAAAAGGGTGAGATTGGAGTACAATGAAAGGTGTTGGAAGTCCGATGAATGTAATAATAGTAAGCCCGTAAATAGAGGTGGAATTTGGAAGAGAGAGAGTGAATGAGTGTGGAGAGTGGCAAATTAAAGGGAAAATAGAAGAGCAGGCGTAGTTTCAACATTATAATTCGGACATTGAAATTCGGACCCACCTCCTATTCCAATGCCTCTCACATCTGAAAAACTGGATTACTGATTAGATTATGTTTAGCTTCTTCCAGGACCCCCGTGTTCTTCTTGCCTTCCTCCCCTGTCACAACTCACATATGGAGAACTCACTTTCACTCCCACTTTCATACATTTTTAAATGCTTTAATCTCGTAAGTGGAGTCGGCTTTAAACCAACACGATGACTTTTATTTTACTACTATTTTAAATAGAGATTATAAATTGTACTTTCTTCATCTCTTAATACATACTAAGTAGTAAATCATTTTATTTGATGAAACAACTCCGAAATTACTTCTTCACAATATAATTGCTTAGAAATTTCAATATAACAAACAAAAATTTTAATGATGAAAAATAAAATTTTAAATATCAGACTAATACATTCTTATTTTCTCAAATGTAATGTAAAATACACTCCACTCTTGACAATTAATGTTTTTTTAAGGTCGGGTCATATGTATTTTATTGTATCTTACATGTTGTCTATAGAGCATAGAGACGAAAACAAAGTTACTCATACTTAAGTGTACCACAACCTAACCCGTTTGATATTACGGAGTAAACAAAAAATTCGATTAAAAAAAAAATACTACGTAATAGATAGAAATTCTGAAATTGAAACATGGAGCCAAATCAAAAAATGCTCGTACACAAGTTACACCTGATGACTAGATTAGTAGTACGATTACAAATTTACAATCAATTCCACATCAGGTGAACTTGTGATCCCTAATTACCACTACCTACTAACTTGTACAGCATCTCTGCATAACCATTTGGGCAGCACTTCTGCTATGGATAAACATCAGACTAAGAATCCAGCCTAAAGAGTTTGCAGTCAAACAACATCCCCTGGAAATAACAGAGCCAAACAGCATACCTAGTTGCATGTACTCGTCTTTCTGCCACAAAGTTAACTCGGTAAAGCATCTTGGGATTATTCTTCACTATGCATATCATCATCAGACTCAGTTCGATATGGTTCAGTTCCATCAGTAGAGGCATCTTCTTCCTGTGGCAGCTTTCCTTTCGCTTCTTGTTTTGAAAGTCGATCACGAAGCTCTCTCAATTTTGCCTTCTTTGAGTTTAGCACACTCACAAACTGAAAGCAAAGGGAAAACAATAAGTACCAAATAAATAACCTCTTGACCTGAGCTTTATCAGCTTAAACAGCTAGTTGAACTTAACATGCTCAGGAATACTTGATCAAAAATATGCAATGGCAATTTCAGCAAACTGAGACAAGAATTTCTTATCAAATTCTGAAGATGACAAGTTGTTTCCAGAATGAGGCATATTCATTGCAAATCAGGAGTTCACTTGACCATCCAATTGCCGTACATTCACATGATCAAAGTTGCTTCTATGCTCTAATAATTAATATCATTAACGGATAAGCGCATGACTGTATTATGACAAATCTAACCCACCCACCCCCCCCCTCCCACCCACCACCACCACCACCAAATAAAAAAAATAGAGGGGGAGCACTCTTCAAATAAAACTGACTATAAATCACTAATGAGAGTAGGTACATCAAGTCATCATCACAGAAGTACCGCAAAACATCTAATGAATTAGAGAGAGAACTCTACGGTACAACATAGATGGAGGACTAAAGGCTTCTGATCCTAGACATGTTTGAAATGAAATCTATCCTCTCATTTTCTGCCTACAGGAGGTATCATTCCCATCCCAGGCTCCCAGCTAGTAAAACGGTAGAGTTTTGTCTGCTTCAAAATGCTGATATAAGCTGACAACATATTCTCAAACTTCAACTCTTCTCCTAATAACTTAGTGTACAAAGTCAAGACAACTAAAATATAAAACTACAAAGTACCTTTGCATACACTTCTGTTTCAAACTCATCTTTCTCAGCGCTCAACTTTTCACTTTGTACCAAACATTTCTGAGCTTCTTCTTTCAGCCGGTCAAATGACTGAGTCTTTCTGACAACTTCTTCCTGTAACATTCAAACAAATAAAGAATTACATCACATTAACAAGTATTTAGTGTGTAGATTACATGAAGGTATTAGCTAGTGCCAATACTGGTCACATTCAAGGATTTGATAGGTTTAGATGTGTAGGTTTATGCATTTAGATTCTTTAAAAAGTACTACAGTTTTCTATTTCCTCAACTGTTCTTAAACCTCAGTTCTTAACTGCCAAGTCACTTCTCAGTTCTCAATTATACCAATTTACATCATGTGAGAAAAACAACAAGATAACCAGAGTCCAGAGCCAGTGAAACACATCAAGCGAATAATTAATATCAATGACCAGATTGACCACAGCTATCAGAATTGGCTAGATGATTTGGATTTCTGTCATACCCTGAACAAAGCATTCCCAGCCTTCCAAATCCCTACTTATGTCACCACTAAGAGTTAGCTGTGGAGTATTTTCCCCCTACTAACACACGGTAGGTCTAATACCCTAAGCAAACTTTTTCACTGGAAAAACCATAATTGCATTAGATAAAATACGAGTAAGTGGTTAACATTGAAAAGGGAACTTGCATCGATGCATATCAAATATTCCAAAATCAAACTATACTTAAACATTATCTGAGAGTCCTAATCCCCCTTGAACCTAGCAGAACAAGAAGAATAGCCCAAATTGCAGTCAGGGAATAAAACCCAGTAGGCATGTTGGACTGTCGTACACATATTGAAACATAGCTTGCAAATACGGCTTAACACAGCCTTATTCACTAAAATCACTTCGCCATGTTACGAGCCTTATTCTGCTGAATCTGCTCATACTTCTCCATAATTTTGTTAAGGACACAATGGCGCTCTAATAGAGCTACAGTGGTACCACTTAAACTTGTTATCTAATGAAGCTAAAACATCAAGAAATTGTGAAATTCTTAAGACATTGATGCAGTAACATTATTAAAAGAGACTCACACTTAATCTTATGTTAGCATCCATGAGAAAGTCCAATATGGTTGCTGTTGTCTTCCGATTGTCCGGCGACGGCTTACATCTCCATCTCCATTCCAGGGTAATCCCTTCCTTCTCAAATGTCCATGACAACTAAACAACATTTCCACAATCATATAATATAACATCACACAATCGTAAAAAAAAAAAAAAAAAAAAAAAAAAAAAAAAAAAAAATCAAATTTGATAAAGTTCAAAGTCGAGAGTGAAAACAAACCCTTCTAAAGCCATTTCCAGCATCAGAAAAACGATAGACAGAATGAGGCTGTTGAAACCCTAAATACTTTTCTGCAAAATCAATGTATTCCGAAACAGATTGATCCCATTGGCTAGCTCTTTCTCTCACATCTTCTTCTGAAGCTATTCGAATTCCCAGAATCAAACACCAATTTCCCAATAATTAATAATCAATAATCAAATTTAAAAGAGTAGAGAGAAAGAGAGGAGAGCATACCATTGCAGAGCCAAGAATCAAGGCCGTCGGTAATGGAGAGAGAAAATCGAGAAGGAAACCAAGTTCCCATAACAAAAATAGTTTGTTTGGGAAAAGAATCAGATTCAGAGTTGTCTTGTGTTAATTCAAGCTTCAAGCATGAATGTCTTGCTTCTGATTCGGGTTCCATTTTCGGAAATTAGGGTTCTTCGGAGAAATACAAATTTAGGAGGAAGGTTTTGTGTATTGGCGTTGGTATCTTCAGAATTGAGTCTTGTCGAACACGATTTGGAAAGGTAGACTATTTCCCGCCCTTTTCCATAAAACGAGCACAAATTTTCTCTAGGAGCACCACCCATTTGTCTTGTCATGAACGAAATTTATTAATCTAGTACTTCGTGAGAGTATGGGATAGCTTAAGTACTTAGAGGTTCTTTTCCGATTTTAAGAGATATTGGGATCGATTCTCATTATTCGTTCGTGTAACTTTCTAAACAATAAAAAAAAAAATATTTAGTACTCCATAGTCCATAGTCTGTGTCAATTTAAATGTTTATCGGGTTCGATTAGGTCTGTTTAGGTTGAAATAATCTTAAATTTGAGTCATGTTAAATTATTGTGTCCATATAAATCAGGATTTGAATTTGGGATCGAATTGGGTCGGGTCAGGCCGATTCTTTACGCTTGCAAAGTTAATTACGAAGTATTGTTTATTCATAGTTGTTATTCTAACGGATTTTGTTTAGCTAATTTTGCTTGAAATAAGATAACAGAAGTTGAAACAAGTAAACTTAAAGTGTAAATAATGTTCATATAATACTTCTTAAGCTCTTCTTAATTTTTACTCTCCCTATTTGACTGTCACATTTTCCAATACACAACTTTGACTAATGATATCTTTTAAATTATTAATAAGTAAAAGTTGAAGTTTGGAAACTATGCTTTGAGACAATTTTAAAAAGTATTCATTGATTATATTTTATCTTATTTTATCTTGCGTATGAAACACAAACATTGGTCAAAGTGGTGCATGTAAATAGTGTCAAAGTCAAAATAGAACACTTAAATAAAAACAGATGATGGTTTTGGACTTGGTTGTTACTCCTTCTATTTCATAATTATCGCAACACTTTGACTAAGACACATCACAGATGCACAATTATTTATAAAAATTTCTATATATATATATTAAAACTCAATAGGAAGACACGAGTCTGCCACGTGTCATCATGACTAGACAGATGATATGGCGCCATGTCATACAATTACTATAATTCATTAAAAAAAATAATGAATTGTTAGCATTAATGTTCAAACCTATGATCCCATGCTTATTATACTTTAATTTCAACCACTGCTCCAATGACACATCTCATATCTACAATGTTTTGTTAAAAAAAGTTAATCATATTCATAAACTTGAAGTCGAACGAAGCAAATTAATAATTTTAAATACTAAATATTGGATAATATATTTTGATGTTCAATAATGATCGGAAAAATATATTTAAATAGTACGAATACTGAAGTAAATATTGTTGGAATAAAGTAAGGGAATTTAAGGCATCAGGTTCAACCGCCCGATCGGACACGTATTGGCCCATTGGACTCCAACGGTTTGATTTTTGGATTCACTCACTTAATTTCTTGAGTAATCCTTATAACCCCTAATTTAAGAGGATGTTTAAGATGATTAATCACCACCATTACTCTCTTGATAAGTAACTCTCATAACCCCCCGTTTAAGAGGATGTATAAGGTTATTATTCACCTCTCTTGATGCTTGGGATTATTCTTCTATGTTCTTTCATGTTTCTCTATAAATAGAAGAAGCCTTTTTTTTTTTTTTTTTGTTTTTACACTTGAACAATACATCAAGCACAATAGTCTAAACACATTATCTATTGGGTATAAGTTACTTGACTCATACCTTTCACCCAAAAGTGTCTTTGTGTGGAAGTGGTGTAACAACCTTAGGGAACGTGTCGGCGAATACAATTGAGCACCTTGGTTGCACCGGAAATTCGTTTTCAAGTTAGTGATTTGCATCACGACGCACCGATATTGTTCCATTGTTTGTGAGATTATCTTTTTGATCTTACTTAAATATTTTTATACTATTTGTACTAGACTACTCCTTTATTTACAACAAATGTAACTAATTTAATCTATATTTGTATTATCACATAATTTTTATTATAAAATTTCATTTATAATATATAGATGCTGACCCGAGGCATTGCTCGAGCTAAAAACTAGTTTTTTTTAATAAAAAAACATAAAAATAATCAAAGCTTTGGCACAAGGGCCGACCGCGGAGGATTTGTTTCCTCTTTAGATAGTGGAATATACCATTTCCTCTTTAGAAAGATTCTTTTAGCTATTTGAGCATCAATAAGGATCATTTTAGCCACTCAAAATATTAACTAAAAGGATATATATCCTCATTGATGTCGACACTCTAAAAAAAACTCGAAATTCCAATGACTAGAACAAAAAAATGTGACTTATCAACCTATCAAAGATAATCAAGTTTAGCACTGTCTTTATCAAAAGTTTTAGAATTTTTGAAACTAGAAATGATAAAGAGAAAAAAGATAGAGTTTTAAAGAGCCATATATGGAGTGTATGACTTATTACCATACTTGTATATGCTCTAACCACTAATGCTTTAATCATCAACACTAAAATATTTTCATAAACGGAAATTCTTCAGAAAAATTAGGAACTTTGGGAGTTTGGGTGCTTATTTATTCTGGATTAAAAAAATAGGAAGATTCCCAATAACCACGTCCCTCCAAAACCCAATTCCCACAATTTCACAACAATACAAACGATTCCCATATTTTAACCCAAAGGCACCCAATCACCCATATTACTAAACAAACACACAATATTAAGAGTTTGTGAAACAACAAATGAACAAACCAGCAAATTAGCCAAACATCAAAGATCAAATTGCATTACTGTTCGTCAAAAATGTCACGATTTTCCTCCCAATTTCTCTTACCATTTCTGCTAATTTCCTTCTTTTTTCTCACTATAATCTCTGCTACTGACGGTGATGTTGATGATGATCAAACAATCAAAACTATGCACCAGTTTTCTGGGTACCCTTCTTCTGAACCTCACCACCATCCTCTCTCCTCACTCTCCGTTGATACTCAATCTTTGCAATTTCAGGTTATTACCCTTCATTCTATCCACTTTTTTTACGATTTGGGTCTTTAATCTTTTCTTCTTTTATCTAGTATTTATACTGCACTTCTGATTCTGCTTGATTACTGTATGCTGATTTTGTTTGCGCTTTAAGGGTTTTAGAAAGTTTATGATTTTTAGATTAAGATTCTATCATTTGTCTGCTGAATAATACGACATATTTTGACAAACAGACTGTTATTGGTTATAATTTTTCAGTGTAGATTAATTGGAAGTTATATGTGATTATGTGAAGTTGAAGAATTGATTGCTCCCGAAATATGGGAACTTTGTTTGTATGGTTATCGGACTAAAGTAGCCTAATTGTTGCGTATTGTGCTTGAATCTATTTTATGATCATACTTGAATTGAATGATATGCAATTACTTCCTCTTCAGGTTGACGAGTTGGCGACTTTCTCTGATTCCCCTTCCCCATCGGTTACTAGGGTTCTCTATACCGATAAGGATGTTGCTGCCCGGAGGTATGTCACCCTTTGTTCTTTGTTTTTTGTGGAGTCAGGTTATCATTTAACCGGTTGCTAGTATGATTTTCTAGGGAAATTAGTTTGTTAAAGTGGGCTATTACACAATGTGCGTTTGATTCGTCTTGCTAGGAATGCTGATTAGTATTTCATGTATAAATAGTATCAAGTTTGAAGCAAGGAAACTTAATTCTGGGTCGATTTGTGGCTATTTGTTAGTTGATATTCCAGGTCCTTGTTGATAATATTATGAAAAATAGAGCCCTTTTTTTACCGCCTTTTCAATTTGTTTGAATGGTACTTTACCCAGAGATGTATGTTGGAGTTGATATATGCAACTGTTGCATTAGACATTCATTCTAATTGTAGCCTATTACTAGCCAGATGTTCAAATTTGCTACCTCCTGTGTAATTGGTGAAGGTGCAGATGACTTTGTCTATTGGAAATCTTGTTTTCTCTGCCTTCTTACCATCATTGACTGAAATTTATATTACCTAATATTTTCTCTTGATTAATTACATATATACTTATTATCTGCAAAATATATGATAGAAGACACAATATTTTCTTGAGCGTCCAGTTATTATAAATAGTGATATAGTGTATTATATCTCTAGGTACATCAAGAACTTGATGGGACTTGCTGGTCTTTCAGTCAGGGAGGATACCATCGGTAACATTTTTGGTCGATGGTAAGTTGTTGAATCTTTCTCTAATTTTATGGTCTGTGAGGACTGTGACTAGCACTTTGACTCAATCTTTTAACGAGACATCCCCTTACCCCTCTTTCCACCGACTCAGAAAGAATTGTTTCAGGGTAATAGGTGTGGGGGTAAATGAAAAATTATGTTTTCTTCCTTCTAGACAGGGAATGTACAACTTCCTGCTGTTTTCTCCGCATTTCCTCCTTGTTCCTAACCCGTAGACCTCAAACATTTTTATATGGACCTCAACGATAATGCTTTATTTGTACAATTTTGCTGTTGAAGAAAATGTAACTTTTTCTATTCTGCCATGACTAACAGCCCTTTTAGTGTAGTTTGTAAAAAATATGATAATTGTAGCCATGGTCAACATAGACAACATTATTCCTTTGCTCTATTGGCTGCTGTGACTCAATGTGGAGCCTGTGAATTGTTCCCTAATTGTCCATGGCCAAAATTCATCGCCAGAAGGCCCAAAATATATACCAAATTCTAGTAGGAAGCTACAACATGCATTCAGCCATCCTTAGCATACTGCCTGTTTAGCTTCCCTTGAATTAAAGAATATTGGATATACTTTGTATAGTCTTTTCTCTGTGTCTTCTTTTGATCTAAAAGTTCTTAACATTTTTGTTTAACAGGAATGGGTATGAACCAGAACTTGCTGCTGTTGGAACTGGTTCTCACATAGATGCTATTCCGTATTCTGGAAAGTATGATGGAGTTGTTGGTGTCCTAGGTGCAATAGAAGCCATTAATGTGCTGAAGAAGTAAGTTTTGTTTGTCAGATATTGACATCAGGTGTAATTGTGTAACTAGTAAAACCAGTTTAGGTAAATACACAGATTCATAAGATCATAAAGCATGAGTTTCACATAGCTTGGAAATGTATTACAACTTCCAAGTATGCCCTACTCATGCTAAATCAAGTTCAATGCTATATTACTTCAGTTCTGCTAGAAATTTTGTTATTTAACAGTGCTGACAATCATTTGGCAAATCACAATTGGCTACTTCATTAAGTTTTACTACTGTTTCTTTCTGTGAATATATATATATCTGGATTCGCCTTTTCCCTTTCCTATACCTTCTTCATTTCAAGTTATTATATATATTGGCAGCCAGCATCTGTTCAGGACATTCTAAGCATTAATTTTCAGGGCTGGATTTAAGCCAAAACGGTCATTGGAGGTAATAATGTTCACATCAGAAGAGCCTACCAGGTTTGGGATCAGCTGCTTAGGAAGGTATTGCTAAATTTTCCGTCACTACTTTTTTTTATCATGGTGTTTTTTGTTTCATTTGTGGGAAGAAGATCCTTTTGATGTTCCAACCTTTAGTACTTTTTAAAATGCAGCCGTTTGATAGCAGGAAGTGAAACCCTTGAAAAAGCTCTGAAGAATACATTTGATAGTCAAAATGTATCTTTTCTAGATGCTGCAAAATCTGCTGGGTATGCTAGAGATAAAGATGACCTGTCTAGTGTGCGTATGAATTATGGAACTTACTCTGGGTTTGTGGAGTTGCACATAGAACAAGGGCCTATTTTGGAAGCTGAAGGTGCACCTTTTCTTGTATAACTTTGATGCCCTCACAGAACTGGAAATTCGTTTTTCCTGCTTTTCTTTAAATTTTGTATATTTATATTTTTATAGGAATTCCAATTGGTGTTGTTACTGCCATTGCTGCTCCTGCTAGCATCAAAGTGGACTTTGAAGGAGATGGAGGTCATGCAGGTGCTGCCCTGATGCCAAACAGGTGAAAATGCTTAATGATTTTGGTATGCATGCTGTAGATTTACCCACAATCAGCGAATAGCTGCCTATCACTCTATCCAACATCAACATCCTAAATGTACACCGATTGTCAGCAGCATAGAATATATTTTAGCCTTTTTTCCTGATTGAAGTTCATCGTATGTTGTTTCATTAATTAATTTCTTCATTCAAAGTTGTAAAATTATTCTCTCATGTCATTTCCTTCTGGATTGTCCATTCTTATAAAATAACTTGTTACTTACTGTGACTAGTATTTGTCTTCTGCAGAAATGATGCAGGATTAGCCGCTGCAGAGTTAGCATTGGCTGTTGAAAAGCATGTTTTAGAATCTGGGACTATTGACACTGTTGGTACTGTTGGTAAGACATGAATGATTTCAGTAGTACTTCATATAATCTTTTTAAAAGAAGCAGAGCAAATTAGCTTCTCATTAGTTTTTTTAATGATCGTTTCCTACTGTTTCTGCTAGGTATTCTCGACCTACATCCTAGGGCTGTCAACAGCATCCCTAGCAAAGCACATGTGGAGATAGGTATGTTCAGATTTTTATTGTTCAGCATGAAGATCTAAATTTTGCATGCCAACCTTTATTCTTTTTCCCCTGTTCTTCTGGTTGGACCACTGGAGAGGTATAACCTCAAGCTTTTCACTAGAAAAAACCAAATTGCAATTAACAAACTATATATCTGCTATCTTACAGACACACGTGACATTAATGAAACGAGAAGAAACATTGTGGTTGAGAAAATCCATCAGTCTGCTATTGATATAGCCAATAAACGCAGGGTCAAGCTATCAGGTTTTGAAATTGTGAATCAAGATCCTCCAGCTCTTGCTGATAAAAAAATAATTGAAGCAATGGAAGCTTCATCACGTGAGCTGAATTTGGACTACAAACTGATGGTTAGCAGAGCCTACCATGATTCCCTATTTATGGCTAGGTGAGTTAGTCATTTGGCTTCTGTTTCTGAACTAAATTGGTTTCAGAAAATTCTACATATGTTGTATGTTTGTCCTTTTCATCAATCATGTACGAGCCAACGCTTTGATCTTTTATTGAGTGTACGAGGCAACTCTTTGATATTTTATTGACTGTATGAGCCCACTCTTTGTTCCAGGGTATCTCCAATGGGAATGATTTTCATTCCATGCTATAAAGGTACAACTTCTACCTCCTCTCCTCCTCTCTATCCCAATTAAACACACGCCTTGTGAAATCGCAAATAGAAATTGGATTAGTAATACTCGTTAATTAGGTATCTGATGACTCTCTGCTATCGTGGTGTTTATCTGCAGGATATAGTCATAAACCTGAAGAGTATTCAGCTCCTGAAGATTTGACTAACGGGGTCAAGGTGTTGGCACTAACCCTAGCAAAGCTGTCCCTTTCCTGATCAATAGGTCTGCGTTAGAAGTTAGAGCTGCATCGAATCTATGTTTCTTCTTTTATTGATCCTTATTGTTGAAGGAACTATACTACCAATAATTTAGCAGTTATGTCTTGTATATGAATAATAATTGAAATACTTGTCAGTGTTCCTTTGTGATTTATGATCAATAAAGTAATAGTACGTCAATCTCAATTCAGTTTATTGTATATTACTCTTTTTAAAAGAAACTGAGTACATGTACTGATGTACAACTTGTACAACAAGTGATTTGCTCCCTTAAGAATCGTAAAGTTCTCGACAACATTATGAAAAAACTGAACAGAAAGATTAAAAGTGAAAGAATCAATTGAGGCTTATCATCTACTTCCTAAAATCTACATAATGTGGCCGCGCCGGAGATTTCACCAAAGACCTACTTACAATCATCTACCTACAGTGTTGCTTGAAACTATGCATGCTAATTACTACCCTATCAGTATAAAATTTGCAGTATACTTGTTGTCGAGTATAAGATCACAGATGCAGTAGATTGTTGCATCAAAGACATGATCATCCTTCCTTCTTCGCAGCAATTTCAGCCTCGGTCTTTGATTCATCTGGTGCTGCCTCGGTTTCAGTCTTAGGTACAGGCTTTGCAATCACATCAGCAGAGGCAGGAGATTTATCATTCCTTTCCAGAACAATCTCAAGCTGCAAAATAACCAATGTTCAGAACATAAAACGACTACTCATTCAAGGAAATACACTTAACATACCAGAAGAGAAATTGATAGTACCTTTGCCTTCTGAACAAGACGGCCCTTGCTCTCATCTTTCGAGCCAACTGTTGATGTCAGAACTTCTGTTACAAGGTGCATATTCAGGTTATTACTAGATATACAATATTTGATACTCATGAACTCAAAAGATAATTCATAAACCGAGATGTGAATAACATGATGAGATGGTGGTAGAAGTAAGCTTACTCTTCTCCACTGCAACACCATTTGCCTTAAGAATCCCGGCAATAGTAACAAGAGTAGGAATAGCTGAAAACAGTCAGAAAAAAAATTAGTCAGCACTGAAACAATATCAGAACACTATCATGCTTAATCATCCCATATTTTGTTTTGAGTATCATCATGCTTAAGCGAACCTCATTGATAAGTTTAAGAAGAAATCAGAAACAGAACTGTAAGAAATGTGAAATATCTTGCTTCAGAAAAAGCTAACTCATCAATTAAAGGTGTAACGAGCATATATATATATATATATATATATATATATATATATATATATACCCATTCCAAGAGCGGAGAGCTCGACATCATTGTACTGCTTCATGTACCTCTGCAACAACAAAAATCAGAAAAGTATCAGCACTGCAATTCAATTCAGATGTTATACATTGGTCTTACAGAAATTCTTGAATGTTACAATGTAAAGAAACATGAAATCCAATTTTCAAGAAATAATGATTTTGCATATAATTTCGGAACAAAATAAAGACTCAATATCTCCAACAATCATCATTTCTCAAGATGAATCACAAATTCGAACCCGAATAAAATGTAGATTATCAATAACAATCAAAGAACGCCAATCCAACAGATTTTCTAGAGCTAAACTACCAAATTCAGCAACGCAGAAGTAAAAATTAATCCAAAATCATAATTCATGGATAGAAATCGTAAATTCAAACCCAAAATTAACATCAAAAGCAGAGAGAAATCAATCAGAAATTCGAAGCATAATTTATTTTTTTTTAAAAAAAAAAAAAAGAAAAGAAAAAGAGAGAAAATAACCTTAGCTAGGTTAAGGTAGAAGAAGAGAGGTTTCTTGGTGTTAGAAATTTGAATGCGATTCTTCTTGTGAACCTCTTGTTTCATCTTCAATGGTGTTGGTTCAGCTGCAACCATAACCAATACTGCTTGCGCCATTGTTGTCGAGCTTCCTTTCTCTCTCCTAAATTTAATGTGTATCTCTCTATTTCTTAGGTTGTGAGCAAATTTTGGGAAGATGGAAATGAATTCAGTGATTTGAAATTGAGACGAGCTTCCCCTTTTATAGAGTCCTGAAATAGGAGAAATTAATTGGCCAAAATTTGACTGGACACGTGGTGGTTCCTTATTGGATATCAAGAGAAAGATTCAGTTGCAATCTTATGGGTCGTTATTTGCTTCCCGCCTCCCTTCCCAAAAACCGTTATGTCATATAACCGTCTGCATTTCCTTTTCTACCCTCTTTCTTCAATTCTTGATATTTTTTAAGGTCTTGAATCTTGAGTTCTCTCTTTTTTTCTTTTCCTTCAAATTTATCCAATCGCACAATACACCATCCTCCATCAACCAACCTTTAGATTAACTCATATACACACCAATTTTTAGATTTACTCATATGCACACCAACCTTACTTTACAATAACTTTTAATATAGTGCTATCTTTTAAATTTTTATGCTCGTTTGTGAATTTGTGATGGAAATAAAGTGAAAGTTCTAAACAACATTACGAAGTACTTTTTACGGTTAATTTTTAAAAAATATGTGTTTAAAGTATATTTTACTAATTTTAATAAAATTTTGTAAATTATATAAAGTTAAGGTCGTTTTTTCTTTTATGTATCATTGGATTGCGCTTAAACCAATCCATTTAGGCTAACATTTGGTAAACTTTCATTCCAAGATTGTGTATATCACCCAAAAATATCAAGTGTGACATAACATGTACAAAAATTTATTGTGTGCTAGGTGCCTAGGCTATGCATCTTAATTTGTGATTGTGCTAGATTAGTTCGATTGTTTTTTTGTGTCGTGTGTGATTTGGTATAATCCAACCTATTACTATCTTATACTCCAATCTGTTACCAAATATTTTGAGTATAAGGTTAAAAAAAATCGAACACATGTTAACGTAAAAACAAATTACGGAGTTCAACAATCAAAACATTATACTTATCCCAAAAGACTATATTTTGTGAGAGCAATTCAATTAAGCAATCAAAATGAGACGGATGGTCAAAAGAATGAGAAAAATGAGAGAAAGATGTTACTAATTCCCAAATAGGATATTTCCTCAAAAAAAAAAAAAAAAAAAAAGAAAAAAATCCCAAGTAGGATAAGTCCCAATAAAAGCGGTAGAAACAATAGAAAGAGAGAAGCAATCCGAAAAAACAGAAGTAATAAAAGCCCAAATTCAGATATAATAAAGCCCACGATATCCTTAAATTACCGTCTACCTGAAACAAAGGTGCCACCACCAACCGCCCAAACACCGGCGACTTTCTCAATTTTTCGTCTGTAAATTTGGGGATATTCATTGATTAATGTTCAAATTTCAGGTTTCAATTCAATTTTACAAAATTAATTTATCGAAATTTCTGTGTTAGATTTGTTGATGATGATGGCACCTCCGCCTGCTATTATTGCTCATCTTCCTCTAGCAATTTCCCCCTTTGGAGGTCGTCAAGGTATGCATATACATCTCATTTCCCAGATTTTGGATTTTCATTTCTCACCTTTTAATCGTTAAATGTAACCCTTTTATTGATTTTTTTTATTTTGCCACTTATTTCTGATTTTTTTGCATTCATTTCTTTGTAATTTTACTTGTTTCAATCAATAAAGATGGCAATTTTATGTGGTTAAATTAATTCTATTCCAAAATTAATTTAAATGTTTAATTGTTAATTTTGTTTATGATTATCATTTCTCCTACAACAGCTTTATTGGGGTCATGCTTTTTCAAAAGGAATTCTCTCCATTCAGATAGTTTTCTAAAGGTTAGTGGAAGATACCACTTAGCTAGCTTACTTTATATCCCGACATTTTATGATTTTTAATAAGAGGTAATTGCCAATTTTGATGTGATAATACATAAAGATATTGTTGTCAATTTACATTATTCATGCATTATGTTTAGTTGTTTACAAGACATGCATTTGTACAGACAAACATCCCAGAAGACCATTTATGATTTTGCTTATGAAATTGATGGATTTCCTTGTTTGATGAATGTGATAAGTTACATTTTTATCTATTCCACATTTTTCAGTTTGGGGCTTGTGAAGGACATTTTTTGCGCTTGAAGAGGTCAATGAAGTGTAAGAAAAATTTCCCCTTTACATTTAGAACCAGGCTTCAGTTGTAATTAAAGTATGTGCTATGTTTGGTTTAATGATCATTGCTTCATTAAAGTATATGTTAATGAAGTGTAATTATGACTGATGTTTGCATCTGTTTCTTCGTTGGCCCTTTAATTTTTGGTCAACATTACGCTGTTTATAGTGATGGTGAAGAATGTTGCAGACAGAATCTCATGTTTGCTTGCTTTGGTTATTGCAGACGGGGCCTTATGCTTCCAGAGTGTAGGTGCCTTTTGCTACTGTATTGACCCCACTAAGGGAAATGAAAGTTTTAATTATCATGGAAGTTTATGTGCTTGCATTTAAAGAATTATAAGGGAACCCACTAGCAATGTGTAAGCCTCCATTTTGGTTTTAAACAATGTACCCATTGTTATTTGTGTAGAAAGGCGCATTCAGTGTAGCAGCAAAAACTCAAGTGCCAGTGGCGCCCATGACAATAATTGGAACTGGCAGTATCATGCCTGCTGGCAAGGAGAAAATGCTAAATCCAGGGTCTGTCAAAGTCGTAATTCACCCATGTTTGATGGGAAATGACGCACAAGTATTGTGCAATCAAGCTCGGAGTGTTATTGCAGACACACTTGAGCGGCAATGCTAAGAGATTCAAGTCATAATGCGGTATTATTGGACAAACGGATTTTCCTGAGCCTAAATCACTTTACGGATTGATGACGCATGAGAAGGTATGTGCCTTAAGTGCTTGTTACCTTGGGTCATGTTTTATTGTTTTTTGCTGCAATTTGCTATGTTTGGAAAGCAGTATGCCTTTTGTTTTATTTAAATTTGCAGTCTTTGGCTATGTTTTATTCACCTTTTAAAACTAGTTTCAGAAAAAACATGTTCAGGTAAGTCCAAGATAAGTTTTGATACATTCTGATAAGCCACCCCTGTATGACTTTTCTGCTCCCATTAAATAATTCTTGTTACTTGGAGAGTTGGAGTTATGCCCCAACTCACGAAAGTTTTTATTTTTTGAGAAAAACTCTCGAAAGTTTTCCTTATAATTTATTGTAATAAGTTTGTGTTAAACACATTTTGGGTGGATGATTTGCAGATAGGTTTGATTGATATGGACATTATGACAAAAAACTATTTTAGTCAAATGTTTGGTTATGGTTAATGATATGGGTCCTCCTATTTGTAAGTGCTGTCAATGATGGTTTAGATGTTTTATTGCTCTTGCTCTCAAGTTGCTTTGTGCTACATCATCAAATTTTATTGTTTCTGTACACGTTCTCATACATTGTTTTTTCATATACAGATTTTGGTGCCTAATTTAAGGCCTGTGTTCGTTTCAGGAGAGAAGACGTCTTCATAAATTGTAGTTTCTTGTAGAGGAATGGCTTGCTGGAAAATGACAACAATTGGAATCAAAATTGGATTAACATGGTTGTGATTTGGAGAAGCAAGAAATTTCCCACCTAGGAGTTTTTCGCCTGTTACTAGGATTTTCCACTCAGGAAATGGCTAATTAAGTATAGGAGTTTTTTGTCTGCTACTAGGCTTTCAACTCAGAAAATGGCTAATTAGGTTTTGTAAATGTATTGATGGCAGCTGTTGTTGTAGTTACTATTGAGGCCTTGAGGGTATAGGAATTTATAAGAGGTTTCCATGTAGTCAAGCCGAAAGGGCTGTATTTGAGGCTTGTGATAAAGATGTGATGTTGGCGCAGCCGCGCAGTTGTGCAGAATTGCGGATTTAACACTTTTGTAAAAAGGCCTAGCAGGTCAAAATTCGTCAATTTAACCAGTAAAAGCCTATCTTTTGCCCATTTTCTCCTCTCATTGAAGCAAAATTAACTCTGCTTATGTATTATTACCCAATATTTGATTATTCTCGATTGTTTTTTTTTTTCAAACATGCCTCCTGCTTTGCTTCCGCTTCAAAAATCCCTTCCTTAAACAATAAAATGCCAACATTTGAATCATAACACTGCCAAGTACAGAGTAATACTGTAGTTTAAGGTTAAGCATGAGTTGTAGTTCGTTTATTAATATAATACGAAAGTTGACATAGTAGTGATATGATATATTACTTGTATGAAAAAAAAAAGTTAGTGAAGTGACATGATATATTACTTGGTATGAGAAAAATTAGTGAAGTGGTATGGCAACCAATGATTAAAAATTGTACTGTATTACAAATTCTTTCCCCTTCCAATATTTTATTAGAATTGCATGGATCATAATTTACACGGCCTCTATTTCTCTGGTAAAGAAGTTCAATGAGGAAATCGAACAAATGTCAACCTTAGATGGACAGTAGATGATATTCGCCGAACTTGTAAGACCTTTACATGGTATAACATTTACTTCAAAGGGAACAAGTTCATAAGGCGCATATCCTTACTACTACAGCTAATAGTAGTTTATCTTTCTTTTTAAATGTGTTTTAATTTGTTTTATTTAAGCTCATCTCAAAAAAAAAAAAAAAATACTCCGTATATATTATTAGAAATGGTTTCTTATAGAAATAACTTGGTTTTAATTTTTGGAAGTATTCATTGAATTTGCATGCATAGATACATTGAGACATGTTATTGTTTTTAAGGTTAGTAGTTAGAGAACCTCATGCTTTAGTTCTAGTATAAACACTCTTTAACCCCCGACATTAAGCATTGGATTAGAAAGTAGCTTAATTAGCAATTAAGCATCCTACCTAACTACGCAATTCCCATTCTTTTGCCTCATAATTTGAGCCAATTAATAAAGATAAGCTTATCTTCTCAATTATTACATTCGCTTTCGGCCTTCAATTTATATGTCACTCGTTCAAAGGTGGAGATATTAATCTCCATTAATTAATATTTAACTCTGATTGCATCTTAATTATATTAAAAATAAACACAACTTATTGTTCAAGGTTCAAGTAGAATTTTATAACGCTAATGCTCTTCAAGTTTACAAGTAATAATAAAATATTATGTAATTAATACTTGATCGTAATTTAATCAGCTCAATTATTGGCCTTTACCGTATTTTCAATATATTTATACTTGAAGTTTTGTCATTTAAAAATATTCAAATTAGTGATTGGTCTCTCTTTATTCAAACTAATGAGTTGTAATTACTTAAATTTAATGATTGGTTTAATAACTTTTATTTCTATTAGGAATAAGAAAATAGACCAAATGTTGGTGGACCGGTGGTTGGTAATTGATTTGAATAGTGCTCAAATAAAAGTAAAGTAGTACGGAATAATAGTAGTATAAACTATAAATTGCAAAAGTAGTGGAAAATTAATTTGATGCCTAAAGTAGTAAGTGCAATTGAGCAAATGATTAAGCAGACTCCCTTTTCTGCCTTCTATTACCTATGACAAGTTAATTATCACTCCGTAGAAGTGAATGGAGGAAGATGAAGTGGATACTTACTTGTGGATGATTCACAAGTCTATAATAGATAGTAAGAAGTAGGAATAATATTATTAATTATTTATTTATGTATCCAACTCTGTTCTTTTGGAATAAAATATTTGCTTATTTAGTTCATTAAAAATTTAAGTTGTGTGCAAACTTAAGTCAAATTTTGATTGAGTGGAGTTTCAAATATGTTACGAGTACAAATTAAATAGGTTAAGTTGATCACCATGAGTCCATGAGACTATCCATTGTAAGTGCATGGACTCTCAAGTATCTATTACCAATTTACCATGTTTCATTATGTTGCAATCTTCTCGTATGCATAGAATAAAAATAATTGTATCGTAAAGTTACAATGACGGATGTAGAAAATTGAATCCTAAAGTATCCTCTAGAATAATAACAAGCAAGTGAATAATTTCCCAAATCATGGGGTAAATAAATGTACAAACTAACAACTTGATCATATATTCCATGTTTTAAAAAAAGGGGGGGTTGGAATTCCATTAATGTCAAAAACCCAGGATTTGATGTCATTATCTAGGGTACACAATTAGTATTAATTGTGATTTGTGCAAGTAATTAAAGGACCCACGATGAATCTCTTAATAATAAAGAAATTGACAAGTTACCCTCCAAATAAAGGGAAATGGCAATTTGATTTTGAAACCGTAATCCAAGGATATCACATAATATTAGTGCGTGGGTTGCTATGTTATCATGCATCCCTTTCTTGCACTCCACTCACTAGAACTACTAAAGTTACAGCTCATTTCTATAACTTACCTAAATTAGTTTTTCTTTTTTACCCTCTTCTTAAAGGTACTTTTTTTAAAGGGGATTTTCACCAAATTAAAGTTGGTAAGTTTTTAATTCAAAACTTTCTTAATTCTATCAACAACTAATCTTGCTCTTAAGTTAATTAGAACTATTGTTAAGTTTTCTAATTACACTGTTATTGTGTAATTAGTTAATTACCTCTGTTAATTATTTATGCCACTCTTCTCTTTCTTTTTTTCCTTTGATCTTTTCCCTACGACCCTAATTTAAGCTAATCTTTACCTTTGAAGTTTTCAACCAGGTCGATAATGTTTATTTGTTGATTGATCATAAGTATAAAATCTTTATTAGGTATATAGCCAAATTTTAAGGGAATTGTGAAGTATAACTTTAAGTTACATGAGATAATAGAAGACAAGAATCTACCACCAATCACTACCTTCAAGTAATCTGGTTGCAATATTATCTAATTATAACGCTGTAAACCCCAGCAATCACGAATTATTTCAGATCAAAATCATGTCATGCATTGTATTTGTATATGCATATGCATATGCATTAACTTGTTTAGCTTTAAGTCTTTAACACCAACCAGTAGCATAATTTATACTAAAGAAGTCGTGCATCCACATACTTTTTTTACAGAAAACCTGGCAAAACATTAGCATCATATGATTTTAGCATAAAATGCAGGAGTTTGTGTTACTTCAAAGGGACACAATTAATTAATATTGACGTACAGCAATTGGGTTCGATTGTGATAAGAGAGGATAAATGGGTTAATTAAAATAATCAAAGGGTGTTAAGGCTTTATCAAAAAGGGTAGCAGGAATAATCAATGATGAACCTAATAAATATCGAAAAGAACATCTTCTCCTATTCATTCTTTTAATCTAAACTAGTGTTTAGTCCGGGCGATGCCCCGAATCGATACTTTAAATATTATTGTATTATAGTTTTCATGTGTTATATTTTATGTGGATGAGTTTGACTTTTAATTTTATTTTTTGATGTACATAATAATCTTAATTACATCTTTTTAGTTCAGATTTAATCTAAGAAAACATTTTGTGTAGTTCTAGTTAATATAGTACGGAGTACTCCATAATACTTAACAAATAGCAACGGTAAAATTACAAATAAATACACTCTCATGGTCTACATTAACTATATTTAAGAAGAATAAATAAACAACATTATTTGATAGCAAAGATGGTATGACTTCTTATTCATTTTCCTATTGACCCAAGTCCAATTCTTGCCATTAACGTTTTTTAATTGATGTGTACCATTTATATTTCTAATTGGGTGACGTGGCATATTGTTAGTTTTTAATTGGATGATGTGATATCCTGTTGGTGGAATGGAGGGTGACACGTGGCGTGTATCCTTAATTAGGAACGCCTTTTAATATATAGTATATAGGTTAACATATAGTTAATGGAGTATAATGTTAACTTAATTTTCATTGTGTCCGAATGAGCCATAAGATACAATTTCCAAATAAGAACAGAGAGATTATTTAAACATGTAACCGATCATAAACAAGCCCCTCTATGTTTAATTGTTTATATAACGTTAATTTTCATTGTTCATAACGTTAATCTTCATAGTTATCAATCTTTTTCCCGTTTTAGCATTTTTAATGGGCACCATGGCAACGACATTGTCGTCCTACTACAAATAAATAGTGTATTAGTGATGTTAACACCGTAATGGATAATTAATTAAGCTAAGTGGGTGTTGTAGTCCTGTAGACTGTAGTAGGTGAGTGTAGTAAGGTGCCAAAACCACTAGATAAACCCATGTTAATTATTCATAATTTATAGTTTTATAGAGAATAAATGAAGTCACGTACTTTTTTTATCCTATTGATTGTTATTTTGAGGCCCATTAACCTTGTTCTTTAGTTAGAGTAGTCTATGTCCCATAATTTTTGTTAGGTACATCTTTGAATATATTATCAAGCTTTTAATTTTACACTATTTTTTTTTTTTTTTTTTTTTGTCTTTCTGCTTTTGAGTTAAGTCTTTCATTAATGCATGATAAAAATTGATTACACACAAGTTAAAGGTTATCACCATATTGTGTATTAGATGTACCAACTCATGGGTGTTTTTTGATTATAAACCTCTATTATTATACCAAATCTTATGAACAAGAAGTTACCGTTATATTTGCCTAGAGCAAATCATCCACTAAATAAAATACTATTGGGTTCACCAAGTAGCATACAATGATACAAGTGTAATTAAGAATTTTCAAATTAAATTGAATATCATCAATACACTTTTAACTTATATTCTCAAGCCCTATCTCTAAATGGTTGTCCAAGTTTCTCTTTTTAGTCTATCTTTTTTAGTCCGTTTTTTTTTAGCATGTCCCTTTAAGTTTGTCTCATATCAAATATTATATATTTATAACCAGAATTATACTCTCACATCAATTAAATTTGGCTCTGCTGTTTTTCTCTTTCATAATCAACTATTTTCAATCAAAAATTAAGAAAGCTACCTCACCCTAAGGGACAAAATTTAATGGATGGACCGAATGAAGGGAGTAATTGATATTTCACGAGCCCTATATAAACATTTTATCAAAGCTTGCACATGGAGAGGCATTGCTCTTATGAAATTACGACAAATTGTAAGCTAAGGTATGAAAACCATATAAAACTATCTACTTTATTTTAG